TCTCTGTGTTTTTATATATATATATATATATATATATATATATATATATATATGCATTTTTATATTTTTATAGGCTATATAAAATTTCATTTTAATTTTAGTTTGTTTTGCTTTATTTATTTGTTTGTTTGTTTGTTTGTTTGGAAGTCAGTGGTCCCCAAAACTCACCACCATTCTTCAAAATATATTATTCTTTTATTGTTGATAATAATCTTTTGTTTTCGGAATAAAGAAATGCATGCAGATCATATTGCAAATGTATTATAATATTTCATTTATATACAGTATTTATTTATTTTGAATTTGAATGAGCTTTTTTATATGGCCAGGTTTAATTTTTGTTTTAGTTTAAATTTTGGTAATTTCATGTCATTTTTTATTTTATTTTTTTATTTATGTATTTATTTATTTAGCTGTGTATTATTTTTAGTAATTTTAGCACTTCAGCCTTTTATTTTTTATTTTCATTTTAGTTATTTAAGTTTTTCATATAATATTTATTTTATTCTTTTTATTTAAATTAACACAATTTAATTTAATGAACAAAAATTATTTGTAATATTTTTAGTTTTAGATTAACAATAACAGCACTGCTTGACAGTCACGTTGTACTATATAGTCACTATAACATTCTTCAAAATGTCTCCTTTTTTGCTCCACAAAAGAAAGTAAGATTTCAAACAACATGAGTTTGAGTAAATGATGACAGAATTTTACGTTTGTGTAACAATTACTGTTAACTGACATTTTGGGTGTGGGATTTGCTTAATCACGTGACCTTTTAATTTTTGAAAAATGGTTGAAGATCTGTATTTGTGGAACCGGTTTAGTGTGATTGCCATATCATTAGACCCACGTGATCAAAAGACAGCCTCTCAATCTTACACAGCTCAAAGAGCCCCAGTTCAACTACCTATAAATATAATTTAGGCATGGAAACCAATCGGGATGTGCGATGAAGTATCTCATAAATGCACCCACATATGCCCACTCATACATACACAGATCAAGTGTAGATGGTCGACATGTTCAAACCAGATATGGACATTGTTAAATTTCTATGGCTGATGTAAATACGTGCAAGCCGAGCTCAGAAAACCTAATGCTAGCAACAGATGGAGGGCGGCTTGTAATTTCCCGGGCACAGCTATCGGAGATGTGTGTTGTGCAGCTGCTTACCGCGGTGTCAAGAAAAACAGCATCTGGGTGTGTGTATGTGCGAGCGAATGAGTGATCGGGAGAGAAATGGAGAGAGAAGCGCCTGAGCCACTGAATGATTGAACTGACAGTATCGAGAGCATGACACAGTGGCAAATCCCAGAAGTTTTCAATCATTTGCCGTTAAGTGCCAGAGATAAATAAGCGATTAAGACTTTGGATTTCTTTAGGAGTGTCGCGAAATGGCCTACCTAGCTCGATCCTCTGGCTGCCAGGTGCCAAGCGCCACTTCCTGTCAACGGACGAGAGGGGAGACCTCTGGGAACCATGTTTCCACAACAGCAAACTACAAGTGCGTGAATTTGCATAGCTGACTAGCCAAAAGCTCCAGGGAATGGCAGCCCTCTCTTCAATTAAACGCTTTCTCATTAGCTTAGGTGTAATTGCATTGTGGGTAATTTAAACTAGTTGTAAATCGTGAGACGGAACATGATTTGGGAGCACCAGAAAATGAGTAATGGTGAGCTACTGTCAGTGTCACTACACCTCATCAATGAAATTACTGACAAATTTGTTGACAAAAGGATCTTTTGGTTTTGTCAATGGTAATGATGGTGAATTTGTTTTTTTAAACATACAATATATTTGATGTACTTTTATATATTTTTAGAATGTGTTGTGTAATATAATTAAAAATATGTGTAAGTTAAATATTCTATAATAAATATATAACTATTTGTAATATAAGTAGGTCTGATCTGATATGATTTTGTATTTATATGTATATTTATTTTTTGATGATTTTATATATATATATATATATATATAT